AGGGCCTTGCACGTGCCAGGCAAATGCTCTACCACCTTGCTACACTATCAGGCCCTGATGCTTTGATCATGTCCAGTGTAGAATTTTGCTGTCACTTGAGTTGTGAGTCAGTCACCTCCTGTGGCACAGCGTGCCAGTCGTGGGCTTGCCCCTTCTCAGGTGGTGACAATACCAGCCTTCCAGTGGCTTAAGCTAAAAGCCTTTCAAGCCAAACCAACTAAGATGATGCATGGGATATGAAAGAATTACTTATATTTTTAATTTTTTATTTTGGAGTAAGTTAGAGTTCTGGAAAAGTTTACACAGGCAAATACTTTCTCCAATGTCTGCTGGTAATGTGCAGTGCAGTTATCCAAACCAGGATGTAAATGTTGATGGCTTACCATGGATTTGGCTGCAGACTTGATTCAGGTTTTGTGCTGGTCCCACCATGCCCTCGCCTGGACCAGGATCCAGGCCAGCATTTGAGCTGCTTTTGGTGTGGCTGCTCCTCAGACTTCTCCAACAGGCAGAGACACCCCAGGCCCTTCTTGTCTTTCTCCCCAGGCCCCTTGGCAGAGTTGCATGCTCTGTTGCTTGTAAGGACACCTTGCTGTGCTGCTGTGAGGGCTCCTGAGAGAGGCCTGTGCCCTGCATTGGGCAGGTGCCCCCAAATGACCAGGCACCCTTCTTACTGCAGTGTGTCGGGTACAGGGTGTGTGCGCGCCTCATTCTCTATGACTCTTCTGCTGTCTATTTGTCATTGGACAAATGCTGTGAGGTGATGCTCTCACACTATGCAAATATTCTGGTTCTCAGCACACATCTCCCCCTCCTGGGCACCATCCCAGTCTTGGTCTGCAGCCAGGAGTCTGGAGGTCTTGGCTCATTGTTTCAGTGTCTTGCTTTGCACTTTGAAGGGAGGAGGAGGATTGTTTAGGTATTTTAGTCACCTGGCTTTAGGGCAAGATGGTTCCATAAGGCATGGGCTTCCCTTGCTTACTAAGTCAGAGCTTCTTTTTTTGACATGGTGTCTCACTATGTAGCCCAAACTGGACCCAACCTGTGGTGGTCTTCCTGCCCCAGCCTGCTGAGTGCAGAGATTATGGTTGTGTGTCACCATACTAGGCTTAGAGTTTCATTTTATTTTTCTTTTTTTCTTCAGTCTTTTTGAGATAGGATCTTGCTATGAAGTTCAGGCTGGTCTTGAACTCACGTTGTGAGGCCCACGCTGGCCTTGAGCTTGCAGCAATCCTCCTGTCTGGGCCTCCTCAGTGCTGGGATTACAGGAGTGCACTGCCATGCCCGGCTTATAGTTTCGTCTTAAAATAAGCAAGAAGATGATTTTTTCCTCAGTATTTTTTCCTGTAAGTGTTAACTCAGTGAACTCGTTTTCTAATTGGGAGCCATGCTGATGGATCCTCTAGTCACTGTTGGCTATGAGAGTTTCTGAGTGTCCATGGAGAGTTTTGCATTTGTATTCAAAGAAGAATTTGGCCTATGCTCATTTTTAAAAAATTACTCATGTCCAGTTTAGTTAGCATTAGTGTAATATTGGCCTTGCAGAACAGATCAGAAAACATTTACTGTTTTTCTGTGATCTGAACCAATTCCAATAATATAGAATTATTTGCTTTAATAGAATTCATTAGTGAAACCCCGTGGGCCCACCCTTCTTGGTTGTGGTCAGTTTCCCAGCAGCCCTCGGGCCAGCTGGGCAGCTAACACTGCCTGTGGTCTTCTCATCTGGATTTTCAAGTTTACTGGCAGATAATCCTGTCAGTAAGTTTTAGAGACACCTTCTGTCTTCATTGCTGAGGTTGTGATGTAGACCTCCCTTTTTCCTGAATGCAAACTGGCTCAAAGTTACTTCATCAAAGCTCATCATTTCTGCATTTGTTATCTCATTGTTTCATTTTAGTCCTCTGTTTCATCACCTTCACTTTTTATCACACAGCTCTTTTCCTGGTAGGTTTCATTGGCAGTGTAGTCAGTGAACAAGTAACACGGGAGCCCACGACCTAGAGCTTTGGAATTTTTTGATCTTCCTTCCTGATGTCTGGTTCATCAGCAAATCCACTCATGGAACAGGGCATGGGATGGAGCCACTTCTGCCATGACTGTCCAGCCCGAGGTGTCATCGTCCCTCCTCTGAGTGGTTGTAATGCCCCTTTCCACCTCCAGCAGGGTCTTCCTTAGGCCACAGCCCAGTACTGGAGGCCGAGGGGACTTTGCCCTGATGTGGATACTGCAGGGATGATGTGAAGTTGGCAGAGCTTGAAGGATCAGGGGTCTCACTGCTCTGCAGTGAGTAAAAGAACAGCTGTGCGAGTGTGTGCATATGTGTGTCTGCCTGTGCACATGCATGCAGTCCGGAGGAGTGTGTGTGTGTGTCTCTGAGAACTGTGGCTCTCCCCCTGCAGAGGATAGGAGTGGACGGAGAGTGGTTCTGAGCACCACTCCGGCAGTGGCTGTCCCCACACTGTGGCCTTTGTTCCCTGAAGCTGTGAGCAGGTCAGAGCCTTGGTGAGGCCCCAGGCTCATTCTGCTCTGAAGGTGGAGGCTGGTTCTCTGGAATGTTTCTCACGTGTATCAGTACCCAGCCCAGCCCGGACAGCAGGGGCTGTGGGCAAGGACAAGTCTTTTTTGTTTGTTTGCTTTGTTTTTGGTAAGAGAAATTGAACTCAGGACCTTGCACTTGCTAGGCAGGTGCTTCCACTGCTGAGCTACATTCCCAGCCCACTGGTGACATGTTAACGAGGCCCTGTAATACAGAACCTAAGAACCCCCATTGGATGCCAGTGGCTAGAACATGCTGAGTCTCCCATTATTGTAGCCCCATGGAGAATCATAGGCCATGGTTCAGTTCAATGTCATATTCAGGTCCATAGGAATTGAAGTCTGAAGTCACATTCTGTGGAGCGATGAACAGAGGCCGTCTCCTGGTGCTTACATGCTCTTTACAGGTGTAGGTGTTGATACCCAGTTGAGTCTGGATGCATTCAGCAGCCGTGTCTGAGCTGTGTCCCATGCATGTCCTTGTAGGTTCCTCTGTGTGACTCCCTATGAGTGCCGTGGATACTGCAGTGCCCCCACATGGCTCCTTACTCCTCCTCAGAAGCCCGGGCAGCCCTGGGTGCCTGCAGTGTCCCCGCAAGTGGACTGAGGCCAGATGTCCAGACACACCCACTGCCAGAAGTGGTTTGCAGCTCCGGCTGAGTGCTCTGCGAGGCAAGGATGCCCAGGTGCCCTCTGTTGCCAGGAAAGTGGCGTCACGACCGAGGAAGGCCTTGCTCTAGATGTTACTCCCACATTCTTGGCATGACGCCCCCAACAACTGGCCAGGGTTTGGGCTCAGTCTTTGTATACCCAACCCATGTACCTAGTCTCGGGGCTCCTGGCACTGACCTCTCTACCCTGCTTGGATCTGGACAGATGTGCAGTGGAATTGAGGAGGAGAGGGGTGGGGGGAACTGCCCATACTGGGGTGGCCTGAAGCTCCGTGTCTAGAACCGCTGTCCCCTTTGCGCTCTCGGAATAAAGGAGCCCCAGTGGGTCATGTGCACTCCTGAGAGCAGAGCGCCCTGGCTGGCCACCCAGGCCCAACAGCAGTGCTGGTGCCTTTCTTCCCGTTTCCCTAGCAGCTTGCTCTGGGTGGTGTTATTTCCTGGGCTGCGTCTGGCTTGGCCGTGTGCTGCTGCTGTGGACAATGGTGGGCATGATTGTGGTCACCCATCTGCAGTCAAAGGACCACAGAGAGGCGAGCAATTGGCCTTGTCCAGAGGGCTGTGGATGCCAGCCTTGTCAGGTAGACAGTGAGTCCCGTGGTGCCAGGCTGGGGTCCTAGTGGCACTGGTGGTGCCCAGCTCCCTTCGTGGGTGCCAGCAGAGGGTCCTGCCTGCCATGGGGCCATGACCCTGCTCCCTGCTGCTCTGGGCACAAGGACCCTGACACTTGATTAAGAACAACTTGATTATATCATTGTAGGAGCCCAGATGAAGATCTGTAGAAAGGTTTCTGTCTTTCCTTTTAAAAAAACTGTTTATTTTCCGTGGCCAGTATGATTTTTCTCAGAGACTTCACCCTTTGATCTGCACTGGAAAAAAATGTTACCATTTTAAGACCTCTTAAAACATGTCTTTGGATTTATTGCGGGAACAAATGGAAATTCAGATAATGGTTCTGTTCCTAACTGAAGGAAAACAGGAAAAGAAAATAAATTCTTGCTACTTGGAATGATAAACAGGGTGAAGCATGTGGCATATATCTTGGCAACAGAAACTCAAGGTCGGAAATAATTCCTTTTCTCCTGAGCCTATGACAGCCTCCGGAGGAGCGCACCACTGAAATTTGCTAATTGTCACTGTAATTTTAGCACACAATTAAACACATGATTTCCTTCCCAGCTGATGTCTTTTTAGCCAGGCTGACATGGATCATACAGAAGCTTTGGATGTGAATGACCTCTTCTGTTTGACACAAGGTCACTGAAAGTCACCATTATCTGGCATGTTTGCTCCCTGGTGGGAAAATTAGTTATCATCTTGCTGTAAAAATGGTGGGTAGTGTGGGTGCTGCTGGTACAGTTTCCAGGGCCAGCCCCTTCCATGGGCTGCAGGGATCCAGCAGCCAGTGCCTACCTTTGGCTGAGTCCTGAGGTTAAAGCAGTGGAAAATCAGAGGTGGCAGCTGAAGGGTTGTCTTGGCAGAGACAGAGGCTCATGGAGGTCACTTGGGTTGGAGGAGTTGCATGTAGGACCAGCCTGAGCCCCTCAGGAGAACAGCCTCATTCTCCTTGATAGGGCAGGGAGATCTAGGACTGGCGCTGACACGGTGGACCTGTCTTTTTTCTTCCTACCACCCCACTTTCTGTCACCTGTCCCCTATGGGGTTAGAGGACACCTTGGGAATCGGCAGCATTGTGCTGTACCTCCAGGTTTATCCAGGTTTTGAATCCCTTGATGCTTTTTGGATGGAGTGCCCGGGCCTCCAGCTCAGTAACGGCATGTGTTGTTCTTTCAGATGGCAAGTTCGGCGCCTACATGCAGGTGCACATTCAAAACGATGGACCTGTGACCATAGAACTGGAGTCCCCGGCTCCCAGTGCTGCCATCTCTGACCCAAAGCAGGTAAGTCGAGGGCTCGTTCCGTCTCCTGAGTGTGGATAGTGTGTCTTGGCTTCAGGGTAGGCCTCAGTTGGTGATGCATGAAATTCTTCATCGATGTTACCTGGTATTTATCATAATACCTCTCCTGTAGCTCCTGGAACTGTGATCAGAGAAAATGTCCTTGTAGAGCCTGGTCCTGGGCTCCTGGTCCCGTGTTGAGTGCCACGCACCCATCTGCCACTGGGTGGCAGCAGAGCAGCAGCTTTGGCACCTCTGCCTGCGGGAAAATGGGTATCTGGAGGGCTTTGGTCCCAGGTGTGGTGGCTGCTGTGCCCCTGAATCTTTGCGGAGCCTCCTGTTTCTAAAGTCATCGCTGGCCCAGATTTACTGCCAGCTCTGTAAGCTGTCAGCAGAAAACGGAATTAAAGGGGCTGGGGATTTAGCTCAGTGGCATAAGCGTCTGCCTTGCAAGCAGGTAGTCGTGAGTTCGATCCCTGGTACCGATAAAAAGGAAACAGACCAAAAAAAAAAAAAAAAAAAAAAAAAAAAGAAAAGAAAATGGAATTAAAGCAGGAAGGAGCTATGCTCCGCGTGCTTGTAGCCTGCGTGGCCTCAGTGTGCTCGACAAGCTGTTGGGATTCTCTGTGCAGCAGTGGTGGAGGGGCTGGTGCTGTGCTCTGGACCCCATGGCTGGTGCCGATAGAGCCATGCTTCTAAGTGGGGCAGGAGCTTTCTCCTCTGGCTTGGAGGCTGCACTAACACAGACGGACGGACTATCTGAGGAGTACTAGACTTCACAGGTGGCCACTGCAGTCTTAGAATTATATATATATATATATATATTTTGAAGCAGGGTTTCCCTTTGTGATTCAGGCTGTCCTTGAACTCAAGATGTAGTCCAGGCCAGCCTCAAACTCATGGCAATCCTTCTGTTTCAGCCTCCTGAGTGCTAGGATTACAGGCATGTGCAACCATACCTGATGATGGTGGTGGATTAATATTAATATTAAAAACATCAAAATGAACCTGTGTGGCAGCGTAGATCTGTACTCCCAGCACTTGGGAGGCTGAGACAGGAGATTACGAATTGTTAGAGGGCAGCCAGGATCTCCATACAGTGGCCTCAGCCTCAATCCCTGCTCCAGGGTTTCTAGAGCTACCCCACCCTGGCAGCCCTGTCCGTGGATGCTTTCTGTCCAGATTTTCCTTGTACTTCTGGCTTTATTTGATCGTTATTCTGGTTTTTTGATGTATTATTCTGCTTTAACTCTATTTCAAGAAAAATTCTGATCAGGCCCTTTCATTCTTACTGTTGAGACCTGCAGTGCAATGATTCAATAATTACCCTGCTTTTTCTTGTTTAGGTTAAAAGGTACAAAGGTGCAGTTTTCCCAAATAAATAAATTTAGAGATGTGGGCTGCAACCTGAGAATAGTAGTTTATGCCAGGCTGTGCTGGGCTTTGCTAGAGAGATTTTGGATACTGACACTGTATGGAAGAGATAACTAATGGCTGGAAGTGGTGGTGCAGTCCTGTGATCCCAGCACTTGGGAAGCCGAGGCAGGAGGAGCACCATGAGTCTGAGGCCAGCGTGGGGTACATAATGAGTTCAAGGCCAGCCCAAACTACACAGTAAGAGCCTGTCTCAGCAAACAAAACAAAACAAAACTTAAATAAGAGACAGAAAATTAAAAAAGAGGTTGAGTTGTAGTTTACTTGCAACTCATGTAGTTTGGTTGGCCAGTTCTCTGTGCTTAGTGTATAAAGATGTCCTGATATCTGAAATACATTAATTAAAAAAAACCAAAACAAAGGACAAACTCAACTTCTGACAAATGGTGTTCACTTATTAGAGTAAAACATTTGTGCTCTTTCTGAATCTGAAGGAGGAGTCCCATATCACTGCCTGGGCTACTCAGTTCCAACCTCTGACCCCTGAGACGTGTGCAAGTGTGTGTCCCTTGGCTGTCCAGCAGGTGACAGCGAGAGGCTTGGGGGAGCCTCGGTGACCTGTGGTGCTGGCCTCTGCCTGCTGGTCCCCTCCTGTCCCTTCAGGCAGAGCTACATGGCCGGCTGCCACGTGGAAGGGGAGTGCACAGCCAGGCGTGCTTGGCCAGTGGATAAACGGGTGCTGCCATCAACCACACTTTCAACTTTGAGTGTTTTATTTTCCCACTATGTCCCATGGCTGCAATTACAGTGCAGGGAAGTGGTTCTTTTGGCATGTTTCTGCATTGTGGAGAAAAGATTCTATTGGCCTGTTGTCTTTAGGTTCAGGCTCTTTAACAGGGCACATGGAGAAGGGTTTCTCGGCTGGCCTTGTCAGGTTTCTGCATTGGCTAGCAGGATTTCACTACCCAGTCTCTCCTGCTGAGTGGTGGCTGCTGCCCCGTATAGACCGTGCTGGGGAGTGGCCCACCATTTGTCATCCCTTGCCAGCCCCTGCGACTTCCTGTGGCCACATCAGCAGCTTGCATATTTATGCAGCAGATTGCTGCTGGCAGGTGCCACACTGGCTCTGACAGGGACACGAACCTGTTACCCTGGCTGGGTAATGTGTGTGGAGCAGTGGTGTTGTGTGACTGCTGAGGGGGCTTCGGCCAAGCAGGGTATCCGTGTTTGAGGCCTGCCTGCCTGCTTGCCAGTGTCGCTGTTAATTATATCTAATCTCGTTTTAAAACTTTATTTTATTTATTCATTTTATTCATTTTGGCATTGAAGTCTCTGCATTGAGTTCCATCCCCAGCCATTTTCATTTTCACAGTGTCCCTGGCCTTTCTTAGGCATGCAGCTTGATTAGGGTGTGCTGGGGGTGGGGGGTGGGGTGGGAAGCGGTGGGGTGAACTGCTGATATAGGTAGGATTCGAAGAGCAAAGCAGTTTTGGAAAAGCACACAGGAGCAGGTCCTGGTAAACTAGGAACCCGACTGTCTGCTGACTGAGACTACCGAGCTTGAAGGAACTGGGGTGAGCCAGAGTCCTCAGCTGTAGTGTTTCTCTTACTTTGAGGCCCCAGGACTTCACAGACTATTTGCCGGTCTTTGGCCTGGGGGTTAATTCTGTCCCCAGCCTGCCTTGCCTTGCCACAAGTCACTTAAGCCTAGGACAGTTTATTTTATGCCAGTTCAGTAATATCAATTGTGGCCTGCTCTGCACCGTGTCAGGCTGGTCCTCAGCACATCAGGGGCCTGGGTGTTACTGCCTCCATCTGCTCCCAAGTGGGTTCCTTCTGCCCCCTCCCTCCCCTCCTGCTGCCTCAGGTCTAAAAACACTTGGCACCCTGGTGCCCTGTAGTGCCTGTGGCCCTGCAATGCCCATGGGTGGGACAGCTCTGCCTGGTCATTGAGGTTGCATGTGAGACCACCCTCGGTCCTCAGCACCCTGAGTGATGGTGAAAATGTGCCCCAGGCCCGGCGCCTGCTCTGCATAGGTACAGCGGTGTTGGGGAAAAGCCCATGGAGCGGCAGCACTCATGACCCCGACACGTGGACTGGAGGTGCCTGGTTTCTGCAGTGAGCCACGCCTGACAGACGGGGATGTATGGAACACTGTGCAGGGTGCTCCGCGCAGCCTCTCGCAACTGCAACGTCACTTCCAGCTCTTGGTCACGTGGGTCCTGGCTGTGGAGCACCGCCCCCACTGCTGATGGAGGAGTGGTGCCCCAGCGCTAACCTCTGGGCACGATCGATGTTTAATGAAACGTGGGTGTCGGCCCCGGGTAGCTGGCTGATGGGGTTTAATTTCACACTTAAGCCCACATGGACATCATCTCACAGGGCTCGTGTTTGACAGTGCATCAACTGCCGAGGTGGTTCATGGGAAGCTTTCTGTGGTGAGGCCATCTGGGACTAGTTTACTGTTGATCATTTGCTCTTCCTTGAATTAGCCTCGTTATTGTTCCTCCTTCATGTCTCATGTCATCCACCTGGAATGAAGGCCTTCCCTGTCTGCCATTGTATCTTCCCGACTACAGAGGTCTGGTTTGGGCAGCATCTCCTTCAGGATGAACCTGGGTGCCAGCCGGGCCTGCCTTCTCATCCTGAGTCCCGGAAGCATTGGCTGTCCGGTCCCTGCTGGTGGTGCCCTTGGGCAGAAGCTAGTGTCTGTTGTTTCTTACCTTGTCTGCATGTTGAGCCTCTGCTCAGCCCTCTGTCTGCACACCCAGTACTGTCCACCTATCCATCCTTCTGTCTACTCACTTCCCTGCACTCCAGCCAGTGTGCTGGTCCTCATGGAACTGGTAGTCCTGTGGGGAAGGTGCTGAGTTGAGGGCGCTGCCACAGTGTAGGGCAGGGCCGAGGCACAGGCAAGGCCAGCTGCTGCATGAGGCTCCTCGGCTGCAGGCTCTAGGGGGACCATGAGGCAGTGGAAGGTGGCCACATGGGCCTGGAGCCTGAGGGGACAGGGCGTTGGGGAGGACACAGCCCTGCCATGAGGCACTGCTCTGTTGATGGTGTGTCAGGTTTCTGTCACCTGCAGCTTGAGCACAAAGACTCCGTCTCAGCGGTGGTGGTGCAGTGCGCAGTCTGTGGTGAAACTGTCTGTGATGGGTCTGGTGTTTGGACAGTGTGGGTGTCATGCTCATCTGGAGCTGAGAGACCCAGGTGCAAAGCAGGGACCTGTTTGATGGGGGTCAAACAGAAGGGCAACGAGCTCCAGGCAGCTGCCTGCCTCAGGTCAGCAGAGAGCCAGATGTTTGGCTACTGCCCAGTCCCCCTAAAATGCAGGAAAACTTTAATTATAGAAGCATAATGCAAAAAGCCCAAGAATCAGCATTTATATTGACTTTAGTTTGTGTGTATTATTTTACCTAAATTTCTAAATTTCATCTTAAATTTTTTAAAATTTTTAAAATATCTTTTTGAACAAGGTCTTACTATGCAGTTCAGGCTGACCTTGAGCTTACTTTGTAGCCCAGGTTGGTCTTGAACTCACAGTGATCCTCCTGCCTCAGCCTCCTGAGTGCTGGGATGGTAGGTATGTGCCTCCATGCCCAGCTTCATTTTAAATTTAAGTTTTAAG